TTGTTGTTGCTTTGCCATCGTTATCCAAAATGAATATGACTTGATGAGCAGAGTAACCGAGATCTGTGGGATTTGACCGTAAGAAATAGTACTTTAAATTAACAGCTGGCAAGATTCGCTGCTGCGGAGATGCCATAGTCCTCAACGCAAGCGAGTCTGCCTCAATAAACTCCTTCCAGGTTTCGCACAAAGGTAATCCCATCAGGTACCTATATAATTCCAAACGTTCTGCTCATGCTCACTCTTTAGCTTGTTGTTGTCATCGTATCAGGGTCCAGGGCCGAGTATCCAGATCAATGATGCCTCCTACTCGTTGTGGCATGGATATGACTTCAGATTCATGGAGAGCAGCTATGTTCTGTTGAACTGGAGAATGACCCATGTTTATTTGTTAGGTCAGGGAATTCGGTCGATAATATTGTAGGTTCGGATAAGTACAGTTTCAAACGCAAAAATAGGGAAAGTGTTTGTATGTAACACACAGGGCACGTGTAAGTGAAATCGATCTCTCGGCATAATTTCATCCTTGGTCCGCAACGACTATAGGATCCATAGATTTATTTTTTTGGTGATGAATTGTCTGTACGAAATGAGACAAATAATATACGTATGCATATTTACATAGCGTTGCCGTTCACGTTTCTAACTCATGTAATTCGTAGGCATGACCGGAATATTCAGTACTGATGATCTTTCAGGGCGGCTCTTCCTCTTTTAACGATTTTTTTGTTGTTTATATTCCTAAGATCCCAGTAGGCGTTAAAAGTCTCAGTGGACGTTGATATGATGTGTCATCTGCGCATGGATTTTCAAATGTTTTGATCAGGTGAGGTGTTGTGTGAGAGCATCCAAAACTGTATAGCTTGTAGCATCCGATGATCCCCACGGTCCAACTGTGGTATTGATGACAGTGTCCTGGAGAGTAGTACGGTAATCGGGCTCCTTTGTTTTCTGACAGCATCCGTATCCAGCACAGCTCAGAAAGCCGGCCTCGTCCTTCACGCCCGGAAGTCAGAAGGCAGGAAGAACCCATCCAACACAGCTGATCTACAAGTGGAACAAGAAGGTAAGGCCGTTCAGAAAGTTGACCTGTTTAAGTGTCGTAACTCCATCATCTTCAGCATTATCCCGCCAGAATTAAATAGGCGGATCGCTCTGCCTCGAATGCTTTTCAAAACTTGTCCAATGTGTGAGCTGAGAAAGGAGTTGCTCTTCCTAAGAAAATCCGCCCGTACCTTGACTCTGTCAGTTCAGTGCTATTGTAGAGCATGGAGACAGTTGTTCTAACGAAGTAACAAGATCAACGACTGAACTGCACGCAGCAGCGCTGGTGACTTCGATTCGTAATGACGGTTAAATGGCAGGGACACGTAAAGAATGACTTTGTTCTCTTGCGGGAACAAATGACCTCAGTAGATGTGCAGATTAAGAAAACAAGCTTGGCCTTGTTAGACAACCCGCTTCAGTATACGTCATATACCCCAGTTGTGAGCGTCTCGCGAGGGAGCAGAAACACGAACGACAAACGTTGGCTATCTTGAAAGAACAACTTAGAGGCAGATGTGCTTGCGAAGGGGATTAAATACGTTCTTCTTATGAAAATCGCTCAACATGTTGATCTGTACAAATAAACTTGTTGTATTGCTTCTTGATGTATTTGTAATATATGATATTAACGTGTGCGTGTTCCCTCAATGACACTGTAGCTGTTCTCAACAATGACAGGCAATGTCTACAACGCTAGTATGATACTGTGGTTCAACACCGCGAAGTCCGGTGGCAGTGTAGCATTTGCCATTCGTAAATATATTTGGTTTATGCGGCTTTCGATGTGGAGATCGTTCGACATATCTGTGCACCCAATCCAGTGCATCAGCCCTGGCTTTCCTTCAGTACGGACAGTGCCTATCAGTAAGTTTCGTGTGCAGCTAGTGATGTTTCCGTAGTTATCACAGCGAAGATGACCGCCGTTATTGTAACTCATATCATAAGTCTCCGATGCATCACGTGGGGGGTGCTGAAGCGACTTTGTGCACGGAACAGTCAGTCATCAAGTTTGTCGTTCGTTCGGAGGTGGTCGTTGCGAGGCCGAAAACAAGCCCCCCGGGGCCCTCGCTAGCCGACTTCTTACATTGGTGTCATCGAAAACGAAGTTCACGCTCTCTCGCGCGCGCTTCGCCGTTAAACACCGCATTGTGGTCCTAATTGTGGCCTGTTTAACTTTTATAACCCTCGTAAACGCGTCGAACGACCTCCAGAAAGCCGATTTCGCCCGTTTCACCTGCGATCCGGCTTCCATCGCTTTTACAGCTCTTTTCTCGTACAGTCTTCGTCTTTGATCGAGGCGCTAATCGTCCGAAGCCGAGCCGCACCGGATCGAACCGATCGACCGACCGACCGAGGCTTCCTTACTTGCCTCTTGTTCTGAGTTCTCTGGAGTTCACCGGAGCGGGGCTATGGCTGGGCTGTTTCACTCGCAGGCGTTGAAGTCGATCGGCCGTCGACGTGCCCCAGTGCCCCGGTCTCGCCCAGCTTTCCATACCGCGTTCGTCCTTTCGTCTCCTTCGGAGATCCTCATTAACCATTCGCTGATGAAGTACAAAAGTCGCAGTGTCGAAACGTTCGTTCGCGATGGTGCCAGGTATTCGGGTATGCAACTTGTCGATGTCGGAGCTGCTTCAGCCGGAAGTGTCTCACAGCAGCGGCGTGATATAACAGGTTTATAACGCGAGCGATTAATCGTTGGCAGTATTTGTTCCCTACCAGTATTTTGAGGGAAAAACTTACCGCTGCTCTTAGCATTAGTCGGAAGCTGCCGAAGCCTACCTTTCGAGGCCATTTTCCTATCGCTTCTGGAAACGTTGAAAATTCCTTCTTGGTATTTTGCTGTCAGACAAGCTCAGAGGTGAATATCTGATTGACATGCATTCCGTTTTTGGCTCTGCTACGATTTTTGACACTTCGAGGGCAAGATCTCTGCAACTTTACATTTGCCGCCGTCACTCAGCAAACTGACAAATCCTAATCCAGCTGGTACTAGACCAAATCATAATTCGTTTATGACTAACCTTGAGAGTATAGTGGCACAGGTAGCTATGAGGGTTGGGGGCAATATAGCGACTGCGTCGCGGCAACGCGATTAGTTGTGTGGTTCAGAGCCTTTCAGATTTGATAAAGGGGTTTCGTGTCAGATAGGTTTAGGGCCTGCTGTATAGGTTGCTTTTCTTCTGCTTTACCTTCAGTAACGAAAGTATGCTTATTGTACGCACTTTATACAAAGGAGCAAACAGGATTAGGAAATGGATTTAGTACGATAAATCCATTCCAGGTCGTGTACAACAAGCAGTTCAGATAAGCAGTGAATATCAGCTTTCTTTCTTCCTCAGATTTGCCAACTTCGTGAAGGCTTCCGACTTATTATGCATCAGTTCTGTCCTGGATTCCTTGAGGAGTCAGGGGATCGAGAAAAGATACATAAGCCTGATCGCCATGGTTTAAAAGAATGCAATTTCTAGTTTGGCGCTTCACAGAGGCACAAACAAGTTCAGTAGCAAAATCGTTGTTAGACAGTAGGGAGATGCAATGTCACAAAAGACACTGACAGCGGTCCTAGAAGATGCTTCCAAGACACTCCGTGAGGAAAATCTGAGGCTGAAGATAATTGCACACTGCATAAGCTATCTAATGTTTCAAACGATATTCTGATCACTTCAAGCTCACCAGAAGAACTCCAAATATGAATTCAAGAGTTGAATAACGCCAGCAACAAAACAGAACTGAATATTTACCGAAAGATACCTCGACTCATATGTGACAGATACGTGATCCCACGACCTGTTGAAGTCAATGGACTTTGGCTTGGCATGAAAAAGTGAAGAAATACGTCTATCTGGGACAGCTCATCTCTGCAACAGACAACTGATTGTATGAACACAAGGAGATAAACGGTATGAAACACTTTTGAAAGACTGAAAACGTTCCTGTCAGGGAAATTGCCTTGTGCTTGCAACGAAAAATTATCGATCGGTGTGTACTCACAGTACTGATCTATGGGTGCGAAAAGTAGACCCTCAACCTGAAGGTCATTCATAACTGCATCTTCAAGAAAAGATGTCTTGAAAACAACAAGAAATGATTGGAAGACGAACGAATGGGTAAGGACAAAAGTGTCTGCGATGTCTTTGCCCGAGTAAAGAGGTTGAAGTGACAATCGCTGGACATGTTGCATGGAGAACTGACTGTTGCTGGACCAGAAAGACATCAGACTGGATTTGAAGTGAAAGTATATAGCCGTAGAACCCCCCTCCCCCCGCAGATTGATGACAGAATGAGCTGTAGAAGTTTGCTGATCGAGATGGATGAAAATAAAAATGGCAGAAGTATATGAGAAAGTATTGGAGAGGCCTGCGATCTACAGATAGCTAATAAGGACCATTTCAAAATGTTGCTGCATGCTCATTTTCATGTCGTTCTTCCTTTCTCTGTTCAGGATAAATCCAAGAAAGTTTTATAGTCGTTGATGAATAGCTTCCTTCGTTAAATTTTGCCACTAACCTCAGTGCTATTTGACGGATCGCGGTTGGCATTCAGCGTTGATTTTTACTCAGCTTTGAAGTGAGTCAAAGCGGAGTATAGCCGCAACGCACATGAATTTGACTTCATGGTCATTCACCTTGTCCCTCCGGTATGACCACATCATAACACCATGTTCATTTCATGCATATTGTTCGCAGGTCAACGACCTGCTACCCGTTTCTCGGCTGGTTTTACCAAATCACAAAGGTGTGAATACCTTAAGATGAAATTTAAGTCATACTAGTGGCATGGGCCTTGCACCTCTAAGCGCGAAGCATGCTACTTAACAACGAAATTTCCTATAATCAGATATGCTGTAGGCAATATGGGGGCTTCAGGTATTGGCCGTTAAGTTCTGCAGTGTTGTCGTTTCTCGAGAGTGTTGTCCTCACACCGAAACCAAATATCCTGCAAGACGTGGATTAGTGGTTTATTGGTCTCGTGCTAGAGGTCAGAAACCTACAAACGCAACATCAGCGACTTGCTGCACAGCCCCCTTGAGCCTCAGCCGAAACAACGGAAGTCACCGAGGTGGCGATGGACGATGCTGGTGAAGTTGTCGTGCTTAAATAGCTGCATTCTCGACCATCTGAGAGCTTCGGAGGTAATTTCCTCGTCGCCCCGACAACTGGTGCCGATGGTCTGGCGACCGTTGGAAAACTTGCCATGCGTCGTACCACCTTCAAAACATATGGTCGCTTTCCGTTTGACCGATCACCTGTCAGAAAAGCTGGCTTGTCGCCGTTTTTTGCTGTTGCAAATAAGTGTCGCTGCTTTTTAAATGTCTCATCGGGAGTTTCGGTTTTGGCACAAAGGACGAACAGATCAACCGAAAGTCGGTGCTCACAATTTCATGCTATCCAGTCAGCATTTCTTACATCGCTGTTTCCGCGTCTATGGTTAAGAGTTTATGCAGATCGATTTTGTTCGCTCGAATTCGTTCACCTCATCACTTGCCTCTCTATGAGGCCAAAATTCTTAGCGCAAAAACATCGATTGCTCGTTGTTTGAACCAACATTAACGTCACACCTTATTTTTTCTTCACGGTAATCCTGATCGACTCGGACGACGACCTGACAATCATCATTTTAAACAGTCGTTAAGGACGAGCAACCATTTTCGCTTTCCAGAGTCACGAACGGAAACCACCGGAGCGTGGTTCTCTCATGACAGCTTCCGCCACTGATTTACAACATAGTCAAACGTCTGAATTTTTAAGATATACACTAAAACGCTGCTTGGATTATTGACTTATATTTATATTAATAAAGCGTTCCTTCTGCTGTATTTCCAGCATGCCACAGCCTAACACAGGTAGTAAAAAGTTATGGTATGCAAATAACATAGAAGGAGCAGAAGAAAATTTCTAAATTAAAATGTGGCAGTCAGGTTTAACTTACGAATAGTAATTATTGCAATTCTGAATGCCCACTGGGGCCTCTAAGAAATTATAAACCGCGACTGCGTAAAGAGATCCTTGCCATAGCGCGCTCGGAGTACTGTAAGCATTCGCAATAAAGTCCTGCCATTTCCTGCCTGGTGACGACCGACTAAGGAGCAAACCCTGGAGTACAAGGATGAAATAACTTGCTCGAGCTGGCCTACCGATTATAGAAATATACAAAACAGTTATTGCCAGAGGCCACAGTTCGTTGCAACAGCGATTTTGATTCTCACCGCGTACAATTAGAGATGGGAATGATGACAAATGGGAGACGTCCTTTCTCGGGGACGATAACTTACCAACTGGAAGAACGCCATCTTCATCCTCCATCGCCGTTTCTCCTTTCGGGTCGTGGAGGCAGACGCGTCAGACAGTGCTTCCAACGTTCCCGATCC